ATAAGCAGGACCCTCCAGAATCCCCACTCCATTTATAGGGATTCCACAACCCAGGTACAATGCCCAGGAAAGGCATTAAGGTCAGGATTTCCAAGAGCCCCTGTGCGCTGGCTAATTGCTTCCCCTCTGTTCAGAACCCTGACCCTTGTGGTTCCTGGCCGACCAACACATTTTTTTTCTAGAGCAGCACTGTCCACAAGAAACGCAAATCACATATATAATTTTAAATTTTCTAATACCCACATCAAAAAGAATGATAAAAAGATATGGATAAAGCAAGGTACAGTGGCACACGCCTACAATTCCAGCAGGAAGGAATGAGGCAGAAAGATTGCAAGTTTGAGGCCAGCCTAGGCAACATGACCTGTCTCAAAGCAAAAACAAATAATAATAATAATAATAATAATAATTAATAAAAAGGGTGGCTGGGGATTTAGCTCAGTGGCACTGTGCCTGCCTAGAAAGTGAAAGGTCCTGAGCTAAATCCCCAGTACCAAAAACAAACAAACAGGTGAACTTAACTTTAATAATATATTTAAGGCAATATATCCAAAATATTTTCTCAACATGTATTCTACACAAAAATTTTTACATAAAATATTTTACATTCAATTTTCTATAGCAAGTTTTCAAAATCCAGTCTGTATTTTACACTTAGAGCACCTTGCACTACATTTCAAGTATTCAACAGCCTCATGAAACTAGCAGCGCTTAGCCTGAACAGTGCAATCCTGGAGAATTCTCTAGTTGTTGAACACATTCAAAGAGGTGGGGTTGTACTTGGTAAAATAAAGCTGGTTCTAAATGCTCAATGAATAGTCCTTGGGAGTTGAAGACAGGAAGTCTAAAGTCCAGAAGGTGTGGATAGCCAGGGGTAGTCTTGGCCAGCTGGGTCTGGACTGTGTTGGAATGGGAGTGTGCCTGACCGCATGCTCTTCAAAGTCTTGCTTTGAGAGGGGGAGTCTCTGTCTCCTCCTGCATGTTTAGGGAATGTGGTACAAACTGATCATATACCAGGACATGGGATCTTTGGCTGGTTACTATCTGTACTATCTTAAAGGACTGTTTAGAAGATGGTGCCAGGGTTAACTATCAAGGAAAATGGGGGTGGGTGGGATTTAGAGGGAAAAATCAAAGAGTATGGCAACCTTAGCCCAACCACTGAGAACCCAACCACCTACTGTGCTGTCCCACCAAGACTCCCAATTCTCATTTTGCAATCCTTACCCAATCCTGGCTGTTTGCTGAGTGATATCAATGGGAAACATCTCCCAGAATTTAGAATCTGTGAGCCTGAAGTCTCTTAGAAGAAATTTTATGTAAATTCTTATCTCAGCAAAAGCTTTTTCCTCACTGTTCTCTGTAGCAGCCAGGAACAATAGACAATCACAGCAGCAGCACAAGGAATGGTACTCGCTGGAAATTTTAGGTGACCAGGTATCTAGCACTGATTGTGCCAACAAATCACTGGGGGACCTTACCAGTCATTCTGCTCAGTGTTGAATTAAATGATCTAGGCCTCTTCTATCTCCAAAAATCTAACTATCCAATCTCTCCTGGAAACAGGCTAGTTATTAGCTTTCTGCCAAAAGCACCCCTTTCATCACAACCCTGGGGCCTTCAGAGACTGAGCAATGTTGCTCTTCCCTCACCGCCCCTGTCCTGTCACTATTATCTGCACAGTTTATAAGACACCCCTATCCCACTGCCATACCCATGCCACCAGGTCTGGCTATATGATGGCTGCAGCCTCCTTCTCTCTGGGACCAGATCTGCAAAGCAGCTGTAGCTGCAGCTGCTCCTCCTCCTCCTAGGCTCCTTAACTCTCGACTGACTAGACAGCTGGCTCTATCATCTTTTTGTAGACCTCGAACCTGCTAAAATGTCTCTGTCCTTGGGTCCCAAGTCTCTATCAACTCTGAAACCACCTCCCTGATTCCACGCTGCAGTTCCATCCACCGCCCTTTCTACTGTCATCCTCACTCTTCTTTTTGTTTTTTGGGTTTTTTTTTTTTTTGGTACTGTGGATCGAACTCAGGTCCTTGTACTTGTGAAGCAGGTGGCGGAACCACTGAGCTAAATCCCCGGCCCTCTCACCCTCACTCTTGACTCCGTGAAGGTAGCCTTAAAGATTTCCTGACCTCCTCCTCTGCCTTTCTCTCCTCCTCCTGTTCCAGGAAGCCTTCCCTAATTTTAAGCAAAAGAAAAGTATGTAAGTAAATTATGATATGTTCTTAAATCATGAACATTCTACCTTCAAAGCCAAACAAAGCACAATCTGTCAACTCAGCTGCTTTATCTAGTCAAGACAGAGAGCATCTTGAAGGCAAGGACTATTCAACTCAAATATGCATCTGTCTATCCATCATGATAATAAATAAACAACTTATAGATTTATGCCATGAAATGCCACTCGGCAATAAAATGAAACAACTTGATATACACAACAGGAATGAATCCCAAAAGCACTTAAAGTGAGAGGGAAATATAATGACAAAAATAATGGGAAATACAATGATAAAAAGTATACTGGTATGATTCTATTCACATGAAGATCTAGTACAGGCAAAACTAACCTATGGTGAAAAATATCAGGGAAAAAAAAATCAGGGCAGTGGTTACCCCTGGAGAATGCATGAGAAAGGGCATGAGGGAACTTTCTAGGGTGATGTTAAGATGCATTTGAGGTGACAAATACATGCATTTGCCAACTGTCATCAAATAGTGTACAGAAGATTTGTGCATTTTTTAGTATATTTACTATAAAGAAAAAAGAACTATAAACAAATAGTGAACTCTAGTTAATGATCTATATGTCAAAGAATGTGGGGTGAAATATACTGATGGCTGCAATTTACTTTGTGAGATGTGTCAAAACTTTAAGATACTGCCAGACATAGTGGGGCACGCCTGTAATCCCAGCACTCGGGAGGCTGAGGCAAGAGGAGCTGTGAATTCAAGAGCAGCCTGGGCTACACAGTGAGTTCCAGGTGAGTCTCAACTACATAGTGAGACCCTGTCTCAAAAAACAAAAAACAAACAAAAAAAAACCTTTAAGATACTGCTTAGCAAGTGCAAGTTCCTGAGTCCGATCCCTGGTACCCCCCCAAAAAATTAAGGTAATTTGATGGATAGATCGAAGCATTAAAATGTGATAAATCCAAGAAAGGAAAATAATTGTTAAAGCAGCTAGGTGGAAATATTGGCTGTAAAAGTTCTTTAATTTCTCTGAATATTGCAGATTTTTTGTGATAAAATGTTGGGGGAAAAATTTATCTACTAACTACCCACTAAATGGAAGGAATATAAAGGTAAATAACCATAGGAAAGGTCTCAGATTTTGAATGTCAAATCACAAACTTGGAAACAAATCTGAATTAATACCTATGTTACAGCCAGCCATGGTGGTGCATGCTTATCACGCCAGCACTTGGGAGGCTGAGGCAGGAGGATTGCTAAGAGTTTGAGGCCAGCCTGGGCTACACAGTGAGTTCAAAGCTAGCCTGTGAGAGACTGCTTGGGCCTGCATAAGATGGCTGCCCTCAACCTTAGCCTTTGCCTCGGTGGAAAAATCCCACTAGACTACGTAGGTGACTTTTGGCAGGTTTAGCCCCTGGGCAAACAGGAAATCTTACAGAAAAAATAGCCCTTTGTGCTAACCACAGGGTCACGGGATCTGGAGCAGGAAGCAGGTGGTATTTCCTTGTCCTGCTTGCCCCTAGAGATTGTTAAGTTAAAGATTGCATAGGGTTAACTGTTGATGTATGCCTTCCCACTTACCCCTCCCCACATTTGGTAAAATACTGATTGCTGTATGGTTAAATGCTTGAGTGACTCATGTGATTGGTAGAGAATTTGTTTGAACTGTCCAGTAAGCTTGCTGAACCTTCCCCCTGGGATAACAGTATATAATCGTTTTGCTGAGCCAATAAAGAGCCTTTGATCAGAAACCAGACTTGGGCCGTGTACTCTAACTTCTTAAAGATTTCCTCCACAGACATTCAAGATCGGATCGGCCTCTGATGACCCACGAATAAGAGGCGGCTCTCATCTCCTATTCCCCGCGAGACAGGGTCCCCCCAGAGAGCCGCACTAGCCTGGGCTCCAAAGCAAGAGCCTGTCTCAAAAACTAAAATCAAAGCCAAAATCAAACCCAAAACTCAAGACAAAACAAAACAAAACCTATGTTATATAGTCTTGGCCAAGTCACTTAAAGACACAGCATGTCTCCATTTTCCTATCTGTAAAGTGGAGGAAATAATAGTACTTAACACATAAGGAATGGGGACTAAAAGAAAAAAATATATATATGTCCTTGCTACAATTCCTAGCCCATGATAAACTCTCAAGAACAGTAGCTGACAGGGCCAGGGATTTAGCTCAGTAGTTCTGCCACCTGCCTTGCAAGCACAAGGTCCCAAGTTCAATCCCTGGTAACAAAAATAAATAACTAAAATAGCTGACAGTAACAAGGCATATTCTCTGCCACCTAAATGGGAATATGAGAATGGTAGAAAAGTGTACACAAAGGACCATCAGCACAAGTGTGATGAAAGTAAGTCCAGAGCTTTGCAGTGAAGCAGTGAAGCCAACTTAGTAAGCACAGGGCCAACCTGGATGATACTGGCTTGTGTCCAAAACCCCCTATGTCTACTGCAAGAGTACAGCCAGTCAATATATAGATTTGGAAATACAAATGGCTAACAAACACGAACAGATGTTCAGCTTCAGTAATATTCACAGACGTGTGAAATAGGCATATATCGTCTTTCACTTAGCAGCTTAGTAAAAACCTTCAAGATGGATATTATCCATCAGGAAATGGGAAACAGGGACTCTCATATTTGTTGGTGTGAATAAAAACTGGTAATTTTTTGTTCATTTGTTTGCTTGTTTTTTAGCAGCAGGAAGGCCAGGTGGTCATTACTAAAAAATAAGGAATGTTGCTGGGGATTTAGCTCAGTGGTCCTGCATCACAAGCTCAAGGTCCCAATACCAAAACAAAAAAGGAATGCTTCATGAATTTGCGTGTCATCTATGCACAGGGGCCATGCTAATCTTCCCTATTCATTTCCAGTTTTAGTGTATGTGCTGCCATAGCAAGCTGTGGAGTAATTTTTTTAGAAGGGCAAGATGGTAATGTCTATGACAATATTTTGTTCTTTGACTAGGTGATTCCATTTATAGATCATCTATATTCACCCAATAAATAAAGCTAATCTTTGCAGCATTGTTTATAATAGCAAACTTGTAAATGTGTATCGTTAGGGAAACAGCTAATTTATAGGACAAATAGGCAGTTCTTAGAATAAGATTTATACACACTGACCTGGAACATTCATCCTGTTGCATTTTAATTGAAAAAAAAAGTTGCAGGATAGTATATAAAGTTGCTAAAATTTAAAAAAACAGTGTGTCTAGATATATACATGTACCTTACATATAATGTTTGCATATCCATAGGACAATCCTTGCTCTAGAAAGAAGATTGAGTTTTTTATTTTGTTTTGTCTTATTTGTTTGTTTTGGTACCAGGGATTGAACTTGGGACCTTGCACTTGACAGGCAGGCGGCGGAACCACTGGGCTAAATCCCTGGCCCAAGATTGAGATTTTAGAAAGTCAAACCAGATTTCTGTTTCACCTAGATGGTTTTAATTTTTTACAATGAGACTAGACATTCGTTGTGTGTGTGTGTGTGTGTGTGTGTGTGTGTGTATGAGTAGTGGGATTATTGCAATTATTCATCTACACATCCTTATTTACTAGAGAAAAAAATCTTAATATTTATATGAAATGATATTTTAAGATAACATATTTAACTATAAATATGTAATGCAATCTATACTTATGAGACAAGTTTTTATTTTTATTTATTTATTTATTTATTTTTGGTACGGGGATAGAACTCAGGTCCTTGCACTTGCGAGGCAGGTGGTGGAAGCACTGAGCTAAATCCCCAGCCTGACAAGTTTTTAAATCTGGAGGGCTGGGGATTTAGCTCAGTGATTCTGCCACCCGCCTGCCTTGCAAGCATAAGGTCCCGAGTTTGATTCCCGATACCAAAAATAAAATAAAATAGTCTGGAATGAGCCATTAGAAGAATGTATCTAACCTGGGCGAGTGGACACAGGCCTATAATGCCAGCACTCTGGGAAGCTGAGGCAGGGTGATAGAGAGTTCAAGCTCTGGGCAACTTTGCAAGGCCCTGTTTGAAAATAGGTGCAAAGGGTAAAGGGGGTGAAGGGAGAGCAGGGGAATGGGGAAAAAAATAAGAACCAAGATACATCATGTAAAGGTACACAATCCCAATGATGAATGTAACTGCATTTTTACCTTAAATCTACCAATAAACTATAAAAAAGAAAGAAAGAAAGAAAAGAAAATAGGTATAACTCAATGTGAAGGCCCTGGGTTCAATCCCCAATTCCAAAAACAAAATTATCTCTGGGGAGTAGGGGGCTACAGGAAACACTTCCTAATGAGTCAACGTTTTTCCAGCACATGTTACTATCTTGCTATGAAAGAAAGAGAGAGAGAGAGAGGGAGAGAGGGAGAGAGGGACAGGAAAGGGAAGGGAAGATAGAAAAGGAAAGGGGATGGGAGGGAGAACAGAAGGAAGGAAGGTTTTGATAATGCAGTAAGCAAATCTTGAGCATTAAACTTATAAACAAGGTTTATAAAGGTTTGTTGTAATGGTCAGTATTAAGGCTTGCCTTCCTGTCTTGAAAAAGTTCCAGTCATCTGGGGGACCTAGTTAGGAGATTCACTAGTGTCCCGTGGTTTTAAGTAAAGACCAGTTTAAATGGGTCACCCTGGAGCTGGCAAGGCAAAACTCCCAAGAAATGGAAACTACAACATTAGCATCCTAAAACAAGGGCTCCCAGAGTTGGCTGCCTGGGTGGATACTTAGGTCAGTCCTACACCCCCACTCTCAGACCGCACTCATAAATAAATACAAAGGAAATACTTTCCCAAGAGAGCGGGCCTCTCTCCCTTGGCCTCTGACCTCTCAGAGCAGCAGTTCCCTAGGGCCTGAGGCCCATCCAGGCCCGCATCAGGGGTGGCAAAGCACCTTGATGGGGTCGCACAGCTCCTGGCCCTTATGGCCCAGGGGGTGTGGCGGGTCACCACCACCGCGCCTGCTCCCGGTGGCAGGCCGGTTCAGCTGAGCTCTGAAGCACCGCGTGACTCACGGCCAGGTCACACGGAGCTTATCTGGCTCCAGGTGTGCTCGCTTGCCCTAGCTGCACACTTCTCACATGACACCAACCGGGGCCCAGAGGAAGGCAGCCTCAGCTGCATGGCGCCTCCTGGGACTGAGACAGCAGCTCTTATGGAACTCAGTAGGCTCTGCCCCGGGAGGACGAGAGCAGGAGAATGCCCACAGCCCTGCGGGGCCCTGTGGCTCTTCCAGGTGCAGCTTCAGCCCCAAGTGGGGCCTGCCTGCAACCTAGCTTTGCCATAGCTGCCCAGGCCAGTTGTCCCCTTCCTTGTGACCTTGAGCAAGTCTCCTCTTCCCTGGAGCCTCCACGTACCAAATATAAATTCTCCAAGGAACCTAGAGAGGGCGCTTGACCCCAATCCTTTGAAGGACAGGTATTCTGCTCTACCACAAGCTGCAGGTTCTAATCACGCTCTGCTTCCAATGTGAAGTGAGAACTTGAACCCATCATCCAACATCTCTGAATACCGATAATAAGAAAAATAATCCCTTGTAAGTGATGGCAAAGAGAATGGGCCTTAGACCCTGTAAAACCATCAGTCCAACAGCTTAAACTACTGTCTGATTTTAAGCCATTTGAAATGCCAGGGGAATGTGGGTAATTTACAAGCCACACAATTCCTTCCTCCACAAAGGACAGGGAAGTGTGGGAGATGGGGGAAGTGGAGGCTGGCCAAGTCTTTGTCCCGCCCCTATCAATCCACTCCTACTTTCCACCAACCTGCCCTCTAACTCAGGCTACCTCCAAAGACAACAACAACAAACTGGGGATAAAAAGAAAAGGAAGCAGGTGTTTGTGGGGGTGTTAGCTCAGTGGTTCCACTGCCTGCCTCGAAAGCGCAAGGTCCTGAGTTCGATCCCCAATACCGAAAAAAAAAAAAAAAGGAAAAGGTGCTGAGGTGGGGTGTAAGGTGCAGATCTTTCAGCACCTGGCACCTAGCCCAAAACAAAACTTAAAATCTCTCCATCAAGCCCCTATCCTGAGTCTTGAGGGACCTAATCTGTCAATCACAGTATACACAGGGTCCCATCAAATCTTTACATTAAACTAGCCCCCAGACCCTCAGCTTTACACATCACATCCAGAATAGGCCTGGGACAAGGTCTGGAGACTCATATGAATGTTCTGGTTCCTGTCTATGGCATCCACTCCAGGTGAGACCAGTTTTGAAGCAGCAAGAAAAACCCTGCTACCTTGGAGACCTATGACACATCAAGTCTGGATTGAGCTTCCTGTGTCTGAATGATCCCTGCTCCACCCCAGAAGGGTGGGATCTCACTTTCACAGAAGCCTCAGTTCTACCCCCACCCAGTCCAGCTTCAGGTACCTGCCTCTGGGGACCCCAGACTTTTCATGGCTCACTTCTGAAAACACATGTCACCCCTCTCCCCATGAGCAGCATCAAGCAGGGCCAATGAAGCAGGCTCCAGATAACAGGCTGGAGTCCGCTAAGAGCCAGCAGGGGTCAGGAAGGATATAATCCAGGTGAGGGCTTCTTAGGAGAGCCTGGGGCAGGGGAGGAAGCCCTTAGGTACACACCCTGGCATCTAAGCCTGGCCAGGGAAGATTAAACAACCTGGATACCCGGAGCTTCCAGGCACTTGGTCATCAAATGTCTAAAGTTCAGAGCTCCCAAAGGAAATGACCACCAGCCTATAACCCTCCCACTCTTACCCTCCACCCATTTCATTCCCCTAATTCCCCCAACATAACTGCTCATCCTAAAGCCATTGTCTTCCTGGAATTGAGGCCCTATCCCCAGTGTATTCAATCCAAAATGGACAAGTACACCTCCACCCAAGGCTATATATAACCAGGCAAGTCATGTCCAGCAAACAGGAGGATGTTTCCTGGAAAGCTTCATCACAAAAGGACAGAGGGGAAGCTGAGGAGGTGGCAGGCCTTTGACAAAGAGCCAGCAAGGCTTGTCAGGAAGCCAGAGACCTCAGGAGAGCAACTTTCAATATCCCCAAATAGAAAGCAGCCCCAAACCAGAAAGGGTGGGGAACATCAGGCCAAGCTCATTGCCATGACAACAGGACATCAACCTGCTCAAGAAAAGGGCTCTGGATCTGGTAAGCACAAGGAAAAGCAGCTTGATTCAATGTCCTCTTGATTCAGTGTTTCTGCAAGGTGATCTTGCCCTTAGTCATTGGAGTGACCGTACAATCCCAATACAGCTGCAGTGCATACATACAGGTTTCCCACAGTGCCCTTGCTATTAGGGCACTTACAGGACCTCCTCAGCCATAGACATGCCAGGGACACAAAGATAACAGACCCAAACAAGCCCAAGTCACTGACAAAGTGAAGGGGATAGGAACCCAATTCTATCATTTTGGGGGACCGTTTGAGGGCACCAGAGCCCTAGCTAGAGAGTTCCTCAGTCTCTTGCCCTTCCAAACAAACACAAACTATGAGGCCACCATCAAACACATGCCCTGTTGGCCAAATGACCAGGGAAAATGAGTACCAACTAAAAAGCAAACTCTTCCTCCCTGCCTTCCCCCACCTCTCCTTCATTCTGGCAACAGTCTTTCCAACTAATCAGCAAGATACATGTGCGTTGCAACAGGGTGACACCGCCACCTCTACCCCCAAAACAAAGCCCCCATGTGCGGTGTGTCCCTGCAGGCCTTACCTCAGCCTAGAGCACAACCCACTCCCCACCAGGTGAGGTACCAAGCTGTGTGCTCCCCGGCACTGAGCGGGTGGGGGCAGCTGACCCTACCATCTCCCCTTCCAGAGGCGAAACAACTGGCGTGACAGGTTAGCAGGGCGGGGCGTCGGGGCGGTCTCTCCCAGAGGCCTGGGGCAGGTTGTCCGACCTTCCCACACACACCCCACCCCCTGCAGGGAATGGTGAGGTGAACAGCCA